AAAGACCTACTGCTGCCACTTTCAGGATGGCAGACACATAAAAATATGAAGAAAGCCGTCTTCTGGAATGTGGCGCCGGGTAGAAATTGTGTTGACCAACGTTTCAGAGGAATGTCAGTTACCACAATTTCTACATGGCACCACATCCGAGAAGACGGCTTTCTTTATAGTCACTGCCGAGAAAACCTCAAATCTTACATATAAAAGTATACAGAACTGAATAACAGCTTTTATCTGTCGAGTCTACTGTGCTATCAATTCATAATGAATTCTGTTCATAATAATTTTCTTTGTTTTTATAAGCTAACACAGACTAATGATGTCATTGAGTCTGTGTCTCTGCCCTGCCTCTCCAAAGCTAACTTTTGAAACAACTAATGATTCCTGTAGAACTTTGTAACAATCATATCATTAGAGGCCATCTTCATTTACTGTCATCAAAATTACCAACATGGCAACCCCACAAACATCTGACAAAACAACACTGACACCACATTGCTTCAATTAACTATGTTATGACTGGTAATAAAAGTTACAAAGACCACCAAATTTTTTAATGCAGTTTAAATATAATTTCCTCCTGTATGTTCTCATTTGAGACAACATAAAAGAGGTCCATTGAACAAACAGACATGATAGAGAACTAAAAGTCCTGTCTGTCTGCTGGGGGCTACCCACTGAAGATGACATGATACATTTTTATTTTTTTGCATCCTACTGTATTATGGACTGAAGGCACAAAGTGGTTGTCTACACAATTTGTTATTACAGTTAATAAAATTCAATAAAGTTTAATAAGTGTTAAAACTAACTTTTGCTGCTGTTAATCTTTACAATGATGCAGACACTCACAGTCTAGAGTAGGTCGCTGAGAATCATCCAAACCTTCTTGATACGGTCGGTCCATGTCAATTTCATGATGAGGACCAACGTCAGAATAAGTCTCAACATCACCAAAAGCAGGCAGGGACAAGTTTGGATCCATTGTTATTCTGGGAACAAACACAAGTTATATCATTGTATTGGACTGAGTTAATACAGAGTTAACTCCATACTAACATGACAGATTACGTAGAGAAGACTTCACTGCATACAGGTAGGATCTGAGATTCTCGCAGTGGTGGTTAGGAAGCGTCCTATCTTCTGTGTAGTCCGCTGGAAGTCAACTGACATTTCGGAGGAACATGTCGCTTTCATCTTCAGGGTCAAAGAATCCTGCTTCATCCTGGTTTCTTGCTTGGCTTATTCTTTCACCCTGAAGATGGAGACAACACATTCCTGCAAAATGTTGGTTGACTTTCAATGGACTACATGGTGCTGTATCCCAGAAGACAGAACTCTTCACTGCATGCAGTTACAATGAAAGTTTCCAATCCCAGAAGTAGTATTGTTATTTTGTGTTTATCATCCATCTTGAACATAGGTTTACTATACGATCTAGAAGTCTGTGATGATCATATATTTATACGACTGCTGTGTTCCTGGACATAGATGGGTGGATAATAACAAAACTGATCTTAGAGATATAGGATGGAGTGGCATGGACTGGATTGATCTGGCTCAGGACAGGGACCAGTGGAGGGCTCTTGTGAACACAGTAATGAACCTTTGGGTTCTGTAAATGTTGATAAGTTCTTGAGTAGCTGCACAACTGGCGGCTTCTCAAGACAGGGCTCAGCTCCATAAAGTTAGTATAATTGTGTTTCTAGACAGCCATCATCCTGCTTTTATTTAAAACACAATGTTTCGGAGACTGGATTCTGTCTGTTTTCAGGTGGAATCAACTCAGTTGGGTCCAACTGACAGAGCTAGTCCCTATCTCTGGACACCTGTACCAGCATCAAGACAGGGCATAAAGTCAAACACAGCATAAACCATCTGCAAGAGCTAAGACAAACATTATTCACATGTATGAGACCTAGCACCAGAGTACTATCAGAAAAGATGTATTGTTTTTAATGTTTACCTTAACTCTCACATTTGAGTGAAGACAACACCACACGCTGCTACAGGGAATGCACAAGCAAGGGGCATATTGCAGATTGCAGACATAACAGAACAACGGGCTAACAAACATAAAGAACAAGCTGCTGAACTAAAGCACCTGGACAGAAACATATAGTTCTAAACAAGTGGATGACACCCCTTGTGGGGTGAAATAGATCGTCACAAAAGTAATGAAAATTTTAATGGATTTTATTTTATTTTATTAAATTAAGAGGACTACAGCGTGATTTAGCACATATTAATGCAGTGTAGCAGTTTTAATACACTGAGACAACTTGTGTTAAAAGTGTAAGTGGAAGAAAAAGAAACAATTTGTTGTATTATTGATGGACCAGGTAAAGTGTTAAAGCTATCAGAATACTGTACTTACGTTTCTTGGAATCCCCCTTTCAATCTCTTCTGGCGTAGTGCTTCTCCTAGCCTGCTGTTCGGGAGGCGCATCATCATTTCAGCGCATTTCGATTGATAGGAAATTTTACCTAGGAAGTAGCCCACTATGGCTGCGAGAGTAACTTTCGGAACTGCGCCCCACCGAGAGTGAGGCTTCAGGTAGCCTAAAACATAGCAGTTAAATTAATATCCACATTATTCAGTAGTACTCTAGTATAATAGTTAGACCCCATGGTGATATGTAGCCTACAGATGAACTAGAGATATTACTTATTGGTACCTCAATATTAAGAAGTTGCTGGCAAAGAAACATACTCAAGTTCCTTGTGATGTTGCATTCTTGCACAAAAGGAAAAATTTCAGTCATACTGAACATAAACCTGTATTGTCGATGATAATTTTTAGGAGAAAACACCTCTTCATCTTCTAGCATTCTTTCTGTTTTATAGAGGCTGATAGACAGAAGCCTCCAATCTCCTATTTCTTCCCACAGTCTTTTCCTTTCTGATGTCTTTAAGTACTTGGCTAAACCATCTAGTTCTTTACTTTAGAAATTTAATTCTAATGCAGTTTCCAGTATCCTTGCTCTATCTTCTCTTTATTGCATGCTGAAACATTAAGTTCTGATATTCAGTTCACATTTGATGAGTCAATGAGACAGGTTTCAGAAAACCAAAAGAACCCAATCATTGTTTCCCAAAATAAAAACATTCAAAAGTAAGTTTCAGCTGCGGGAGCTCAAAATAATATGGCACACTTCCCAACTTTATGAGTGTAAATGTGAACTGACAATACGAAATATGCTCAAGAAATTCAGGTTTTACAACAAGAATCTAGCTCTTGATTTCAAGATTTTCAAGAACATGAGGCTACTTCCAGTTTGTTTTCGGCACCATCTGATGTTAACGTTGGAGCTATTCCCACTCTAATTTCAAATGGAGATTGCAAATTCACAGTGCGATACAGACCTAAAGAGCAAACTTCAGGACGGTATATTTGTTGACTTCTGTGAAGTTCTATTTATCTAGTGATAAGATTCCAGTACTCAAAATTGTGCATGACAGATAACAAGCCGTTCTGGAAGTACATACTGTCACGATTTAGGGGTGTGACTATAGATTGGGATTGGATTGGTGAATGGATTTATTGACCACTTACACACACCACTCAGAACTACAAGTAATTACAGCGCTATCGCTAATCTTTACACTTTACAAGTCACCACATCACCTGCTACGCCTTTTTATAGCCTGCCGTGTCTTCAGCAGTCATTCCTTGGCAATGGCTTCTAACAATGGAGATTCTTCAGCTTCACATGCTTAGGTTCTATCTTCACAGCCTCCTATACAGAACTCACCTCTTAACCAACAACTGCCAGGCTGGCAGCCATTTCCCACCGACCTCCTACTCTTCTCTGCACAGGCTGACTTTCAAGTAACTGCTGATAACTAACTGGCATCTTAATCATAGCCCCATCTCTTCCAGCCTCCCTTGCAGAACTCAACTGAACTGTCATTTCTGCAACTGTCCTGGTTATAACTTCTTGGCATGGACCATATAAAAAAATACTCTTCTTCTACTGTTGCCTTGCATATTTGTTCCTGTTGGAACATGTTCACCGAGCTGTTGCCCAGACACGAGTTGCATAACATCATCTTTAAGAATCTACTACACCAACAACGGGCATCATTTCATGACCATTGCCCAGCAACAGGTCTATGCGCTACAATATTTTTGTGAACAATTCTTATCAAAGAATACATCAAGAAACCAACTCGATGATGAAAGCTTAGAAAGCCGCCTCCATGTTGTTACTTCTCAGATATGAACAGACATTAATATTTTCATGGCTAAAAAGCATGGCCAATTTTCTAAGTGACTATCATCTATTCAATAAAGTGAGTAATCGAAGTTGTAGGAACATATTTTTTTCCCCATAGGACAATGAAGTAAAGCAGTTAAGAAAGTATTTCTCCTATATTTAAAACACAATGTGCAAATGTTCTTACTTTTTCTGCATTGGCCCCTGTGCAAAAAAAGGTTGCTCAACACTGACTTAGTAGTTACAACCGATAAGTCAAGAGCTCTGCACTATTCACCTCAGAGACAGGTAAATCAACTGTGTGTTCTGGAATCAGGTCCCAGCTTCCTCCAATGGTTGGCTATGTCTGTGGGTTAACTGACTTTTACAATGGCTGAATATGTGCATATCTTCAACAATGGATATAAACTTCAAAGAGTTCTATCTTCTGTGATGTAATGCCATGTAGTCCTGTAAAAGTAAACCAAAATTTTGGAGGGACATGTCACCTCCATCTTCAGGGCAAAAGAGTTAAGACAAGCGAGAAACCAGCAGCAAGAAGCATGACTGCACAGTGTCACAAGCCATAAGAGATATCTTTTCACAGTCACTTTTTGTCAAAGATATTACAAAATGTTCAACAATTGTGCAACAATTGAGTTGCTAAATCTCTGCTGTGTTTAGGCAATTCTCTTTATCAAAGAAAGATCTGAGAAATATGGAAATGAACCCACCTGACTGAACTCCATAGTAAGTTCCAATACCCAGGATGCTTGCTAATGGGATGCAGCGCTGGTAGAAACTGTCCCGGTTGCACTGTCTCAAGACCCGCAGCTCCTCATTTGAAAAGCGATATTGCTGGAAATGGAAATACAGTAGATCTAACAAGATTTGTATAGGACATATATTACAAACAGCAATGTTTTACTGTTTGTGCTGAAATAATTAGCTGAAGCAATAATGCTTCTGACTTGTAACTGGGAGATGACCAGTTAAAACCTCAGCCAAGACACCAATATACTAAGCTTATCAGTGCCTTTTCTCAGTTTTCCCATGCAGATGCCAGGATAGTATCTTAAATTAGGCCATGACCAGATGCCTCTACATCCTTTCCAATTCATTATTCACTATCATATAACCATTCATTGCTATGCAGAGTGAACAAAAAACATTGTTCCAAACTCTGGGATATAATTCCACACATCAAATCAATGACAAAAGGCTATACGAACATGTTTCGAGAGCAGTCACATTACAAAGTTTCAGAAAGTACAAAGACGACAGCCTGGCTAGCATATCTTAAGTTATTCCGAATGTATCACAGTAGTAAGTGTTCAGTATGCTGTCTGCCCCTCTCCACACACAGCTCAACAAGGTGCCTTACACACTGCTGTACACATTAAAAAATCTCTACCCTTCTAATTGTTTTACAGGCATGCTAAGCAACTCCACTGCAAATCTGCTAAATCAAGCACTGCAGTAACATAACCTAATTAAACAACCAACTGACTAACTCCATGGAGCTGAGTCCTTCAGAAGCCAACAGTTTCTCAGCTACTCAAGAACTGCCCAACACTTTATGGAATGTGAAGGTTCATTACTGTGTTCACAAGAGCCTGCTATTGGTTCCAGTCCATATACATTTCAAATACCACCCACAAAAGAAAAAGTTCATCAGATTGAGGTCTGGTGACTGTCAGGGCCATGTCTATCCACTTTTCATCAAAGACTGTATTGAAGTGTAGCCTAACATGAACAAGGAAATGAGCTGGGGCCCCAGCACAAACCACGCATGATTCTGTATTCATAGAATTACTTTTCCATGAGCTCTGGTAGAATATTTAACAAAGAATTATGGTGTGCCACTCCTGTGAGTCTACATATGGCAAAACATGTGGCCCTGTTAGCCAATCCCCAGTATCATTCCACATATCAACTGAAAATCAATGCTGATACGTCAAAGCACAACAGCAAAGGGGTTTTCATCTTCCCTGACAAGTATTACAGAAACTGGTAATTATGTCTCATGTAAACCTTGTTTTCTTGGTAAATAAAATGTCAGAAGGAAAATGTGACTCTTCCAACATAGTCATCAGAGGCAAACCACTGAACCCATTGGAGGTGGTATGGATACAGTAGCCATTCATGTAATATTTACACAACTGTTTTTTGAGAGACTCTCCATGGCTGAAATTCTCCTCGTAACCATGTCAGGTTCCTCTTACACCCTTTCATTCAGATTGGGAGTACTCATTGGTCATGGCCCCCCTTGGCCAATTTGATTCAGTACAAATATGAGGCACTATGCTACAAGCCTGAAGGTCGCAGGTTCAAGTCCTGATGAGGTCACTGGATTTTTTCAATTGACCTAATCCTTCCAGCCGCACTATGGCCCTGGGGTCGACTCAGCCTCTAACAGAAATGAGTATCAGGAAATTTCTTGGAATATTCTTGGGCGTAAAGGGAGGCCGGCGCGTAGGGCTGACAACCTTGCCGCCATCTATGAGCCAACTGTCTAGAAAATGTGGGAACCTGTACATCTCACAACCCTATGGGCCTCCAAGGCCTGTTACAGGGATACCTTTACTTACTTTACTTTACAAATATTCCAATGGCTCTGAAACACTGATGAATCCTGTTGAACATCTATATTTCCTAAGATCCTGTGGTTAGGGAGCCACTCTTGACAAAGAGCTTCTCTTGCATTGCCATTTACAAAACCATACATGAAATGCATGCATGTGTAATTATTTGCCACTGTCACCAGAACACCACAACTTGACCACCACACTGATCCACTCAGAGAATGAAAAATTCAGACTGGTGACTAACCCCACATGGTACAAGACACACACTCACAACTGCCTCTGTATGGGATGAGAAATTACATTTATAAACAATCCAAAAAAAAAAAGAGCAAAATGTATGCTAGATAGGGATGTTGTCTTCAAATGTTCTAAAATTCTGAAGCGCCATAACTGTGAAAGGCAACTGTTTCAGGCACACAGACTTTTTTAATTGTTTGTGTGTGTTCCAAAATAATTGTCAGCATAATTAAGTCAGTCAGAATGAAAGCTGCAATTCAAACCCAGAAATTCATGCCTGTATTGTACCACAATTTTAATATGTGAAAGTGAATCTTGAACAATTAAATCAAGAGGCACATATAGCATACAGTCAGTACAGGTGAGGTACTTCAGAGCAGTTAAAGACTGTACTAGACTGGATCATATTAAAAATGAATATATTAGGAAAGAACTGAAAATACAGTCAGTATAAAATAAAATAGATGAATACAGACAAAATTGGATTGTTTTGTCAGAATGACTGAATGACAGAATGTTGAAACAGATTCTGCAGGGGACACCAACAGGAACCTGAGACAGAGAAGGACCTTGGAAAAATAGAATGTGTTTGTTAAGATGGAACAAGCTCGAATGCCTACACCATGAAGTGAAAATAACATTTCTTGCTGCTACATCAGCCTGCTTTGCTTCACAACACAGCACAGATTCCGGGAGATCAGAAATGATCGTACAATATAATTAGGTTAGCAAATCCAGTCTTTTGTTATTACATCAGTTTTGCTTTGCAGTTAGTTTTGTGTGTGTGTGTGTGTGTATTTTTACATTAAGGGAAATGTACAGAGTTTAACTACAATACTATGTCTGCAACAAACTTGGTCATTGCTATGTATCTACATGCTTAAAAGCATCAAGTCACTGAATTGTAAAGTTGTTGCTTGTTTATAATTAATGTTTTACAACTGTCTGTGCCATTGTACTGAACATAATAATCCTTAATGTTTATCCACAAACAGCTCTTCTGTTACAATGTTATTATAGGTCTTATGTTTAATATGCCATGAATTATAAAAGCTCCCTTGCAACAACATAATACTATGGGACACTGATTTTATTTATGATACAGTTAAATATTATTAGGTTATGCAATTGAATTTAGAACCAAAAACCTCATTTATAACAAAACAAGTTTTACCTTTATCTGCAAAATTATTAAAATATAACTTATTATTGACAATCAAAGCTTAAATAAAACAAAGAGATATAATTTCAGAAACTAGAATTTCACACAATCAAATGTCAGTTTGTTTTCAGGGGGTCTTTAATATGCATAATGTGGGGTATCTTCCATTTTTTCTCTCCAGAAACAAATACAGGTAAAGGTAGATATAAAGTTGTCCCTGCCCTTAATTCTTTAAGTACCCAAGCATGAAGATGTATGGGGGAGTGGAAGTATAGCCTCTTGTTCTTGTTCTTTGTTTTTTTTTATTTCAAATTCAAGCAGATCCAGATACAGGTTGAGAAGCAGATTCACAAACCATTGGATATATAATGTGTCACATATTGGCTTCGCTATTCTTAACTTCAGTGTTACATAAGAGTGAAGGGTTCGCTTATTGCTGCGACTGCTTTAACCTCTGTACCCACTCTATAGGTGAGTAGGTGGACCCCAGAGCAGGTCTAGAAGCTGTGTAACTGACAAAAATCTCCTGTCCCTGCCAGAAATCGAACGCTGGCAGTTCAGCCCGTAGCCCGTCCCTATGCCGACTGAGCTATCCCGGCTCCTTCCACAAAACTATTCGTATTAAAATTTCAATGAAACTTCCCCATCCTTCGTCATTACAAACTGTAAGTGAACATAAAATCACTATCCGTTACACAACCGTCTATAATTTCTACCGTTGCAGGCGGCTGCTGTGGTCCATGTATTGGCGGTCCTGAAGGCGCCCCGTAGTTTGAAGAGTCTTGTCCTGTATTCCTATCCATAACCAATTAACGCTGTTGAGGTTAGCTCGTGAACTATGGCAACCATCATTATCGAACACATCGATAGGTTATGATCGTGGCTGATATTTAGTTTCGACTATCGACCGCTGTAATTGAACACCGAATGATTCCGATGGCCACCAGATAGCAGCCCACGGCAATAGGTGTACCGAGGCACCGAGGTGTGCTGAGCGGTACTGAGCTACTAAGTGTACGGAGCGTACGGAGTTTACTTGTGTGGTTATGTGCGTTATGTGTTCCACGGACGCATTAACATTTCCAAGAACATTTTTGTATATGCATGAATTAAAAAAAAAAACATATATATATACATGGCAGATTTTAGCCTGTGTAAATTACACAAAAGCAAGATAAAAAAAAACGGAATTTCAAAAAGGTAGAAATCTGTGCAGGCCTGGTATTATCTGTGTGGATCTCAGCAAGTGGAAATATCGAATAACTTCTAATACTTTGGTCTTCCACAGGCAGTTACAGGCAGAACATTTTGCTAAATGCGAACATTGCAGTCTGAGTAATCTACCAAAGCACTGGAAGTCCTGTCCCTAAATATAATATTGACACTTGAAGTAAAATATATCACCAGCTGCATGTTGTACAGTCGACGTAATACGGCAGCATTGTTAGCAATTTTAAGACTGGATAAAGTTAATGTATTCTGGAAACCTGGAAAGTAAAATATGTTGCACAGGGAAAATAAAAGTAATTCGTGAATGAAGATTAAAGTGAACTGAATATTAAAATTACACAGTAGATTTGTATCCTAGGGCACATTACCTAAAATTCATCTGGAACCTTGTGCTTGTGGTGCCTTACGCATTAGTACCCGCCTAAGTATGGAATTAGCCTAACTACAGCAAGAACCAACAGACACATATACTTATATTTAGATGGCTATCATGGTACTATAATGTAATCAGAAACTCACGCAGTGAAAGTCTTGTAAATTGTTCACTTAAATAATAATCTGAAAGTACAATGAACTTACTGTGGAGTGTAACCTGAGTCTCTAAGTTAACGTAATGTGACCTGTTGCACTAATTGTTTGATTGGACCCTTTTACTTTGGTGCAGCGAATGTGACATCCAACAATTACCTGGATATATTGGAAAACTTTGTCTATCCATATTTAGAAGAACTGCAGTGTGCCATGTTTTTCCAGCAAGGCAGCACACCACTGCATTGGATCTTGAGTGTGTGCGTACATCTCTTAATCGGCATTTTCCAAACTGATGGATTCTCCATGCTTGCCCCATCCCTTAGCCAGAAATATCAACGGATATCACATTCTGTGATTTTTTGAATAATAATACTTTATTAACATCCACAACTGTTATGCTGGCACAATTTGACGAGTCAGTTGAAAACAGCCAGACATTACAGGTCAACAACTCATACAAATGTACAAAACAATATGCAAGACAGTGTACAATACAGTCCCTTTTTTATCAATATCCCGTTGCCATAGCTTACCAACCATGGATGACAGCTCCCATAAATTCTGTATAAAGCAATAAATACACCTAAACCACCAAAAACACAAGTCATCCATGTAAATACCAAGTATACCAATCTCTGGTGGCTGGCATAATCAATTTGAAAAAACAGAATTCAAACATCTAATGCACCAATCGACATTGACATGCTCCAGTTTACATGTGTGGAACATGAATATCACTTGGACATTGCAGACATGACAAATGATGCCCATGTTGAACCTGTGTGATGTTCAGAACAAACTTAAACAGAGTGTCTCTCTTGTGCATAATGCACAGTGTGTCTGTCTTCAAAGAGCATGTATTCGCAAGTGGAGATAAATTATATACTTCTGGTAGAATATTAGGCACAGAGTGGGCAGCTTCAAACGTTATCCATGGGATTTCTCTCTGTAGCCTAGTGCAGTTCAAAATTGGTCAAGCAGCAAGCCGATACTACTGTCTCCTATGAACAGTTAATGAAACTGGATGCTCACCACACTGAGCAATGGATTTGGTGAAAAACTGATTGTGGTCCTGGAGCACACCTGTTACTCACCAGAACTTGCTGCAAGTCACTTCTTTACTTCCTCACCATGAAGAATCATCTGAGAGGATCACATTTTTAAATCATGGAAGATTCAGAAAGTTGCAATAGCAATTCTAAAATACTTCCAGGCAAATGACTTCTGGTAGTGCTTCGGCAGTTGAAAAAAATGCTGGAACTCGTGAATAATTGCAATCAACAGCAACATATACAACAATGCATAATACATCATGCCACCCGAACATAAAATGTCAGCCATCAACTACATGATCAACAGACTCATACACCTATGGAAAAGAATGACAGGAACACTGAAAAGTATACAATAAAATACATACAACAAAACCAATACCAAATAAACGAATCCCTAAAACATACATTAAGCAGGAGTAACACCACAAACACTAGAAAATACCATATATATAAAATAAGTAAGAAGGGCCTGCACATGAATACACATACATAGATACACACAATCCCATATTTCAAACAATACATGAGATCTATACCAACTAACGGTACACCCCCACTGCCCATTCCCCTTCCACACTCAACAACATAAAAACACAGCACACAACACACCAGACAGCAAACATATTAAAGGAATGCACTGACACGCACACAGAGAACCTGCACAAAGTACACATAACAGTATAACATATATAGGAATAACATAAGACAGTAACACGAATATTTGTATATTACAGATAACACACGAATTGTGCTGAAAGCAAGAGGCAGCCGCTGCAGCACATATAACCATAGAGCAGGTATCTCTGTGATTTTGATTTTAAATCTAAATTTAAATTTTAAATATTAAAGGTAAATTGAGAATTTAAAATTTTAAACCAATTGACATGTGAATATCAATAAAGATTTTTAAACATAATTGACAAAATCGACAAGGGGAGTTCTGGAATATCGGGTGCCGATTGACGAGAGAGCAATGAATTGGAAATCTGGAGTTTAAATGTTAATATTGAGTGCAGTGTGACAGCTACGTGAAGTGAAATACACCTGATGATGGCCGGTTGCGGCCGAAACGTAGTGTAAAAGAAGGGGGACAAGAACTACAATAAAGTGTTACATTTACGACAGAATTTATATTATACATATAGAACTACATTCACATATTTTGGACAACCAAAAAAAGTTACCAACATATTTCAAGACATCAACATTTAAATAGCATACAAAACTACTAACACCATACCAAAACACAATTAAAACAACACAAAAATAATAAATACACATATGCACTAAGGTACAATGAGGACATATCTACCTACATACAACACACACGTAATACAGTACACGAATATTGGGATACACAGGACACAATGGAAGTAGCACAAATAGCCAGAAAATGTAGACAGAAGAACAATATGGTGAAACATAATATTTTCCATACATATAAACAAAATAAACCGATGATGTACTCTTGAATTTAAAAAATCCTGTATTTGATGCAGTATACAACCACTACATTAACCAATGACATGCAAATCACATTTGAGTACCACACCTGATAGCATACCTACATCCACAAAGAAAATATCCAGACTCAAACATGCACAGCATTAGCCCCATACAGCTACTCATTCCACAATAATGTGTGGAAAAACACCAAATTAATAACAAAAATAACTAACCACAACACATACTATAATAATATATAACAACAAACAATTCATATTTCAGATCAACCTGCAAAAGAAAAAAGAAATATGCAAAACAAAGACACATATCAAGTGGAAAACATAATCCAAAAACCAACACAAGGTAGGAGAGCACATATTTCACACATAACCACTACGTATACCCACTAATAAATAACAGATCAGTGTTTCAGATCATTCAAGAAAAGACCACTTCTTCTGTCATGGCAGGAAAATTCTGGACTCCACATCCAGTTCCTAAATTCCTTCAAATTTATCCATCATCCTACCATTTGACATTTTATTCTACATAATGGCAGTGTTGTAAAACGGGCAAGATGGATGCTTATTAGCTCAGACTATATAGCCCTAATGGTTACTGATTAATGAATTTTGAATGATGTGGAAGGAACCACACTTGGCCTAACTTGAGGTATTATCCATGCACTTGCCTGAAAGGGTTGAGGAAAGACAGTCACGACAACTAGTGCCCTAAGTTTCTCCATCACTTCAGATCCTTCCAACTTATCACCATGCAGACATTTAGACAAGCATGTCACGGTTACCCGCTGCGAGTTTAAAAAAAAAACATGGGTATAATACAGCACACCATGGTCTTCACCAGCAGGACCAATATCACCATCATTAGTCACAGTGCCTGACATATCCATGGCCAATGACCATGACCACAGGAATCACCACCACTTCCACAACCATCACACTCATCACTACACCATCACCATTGGAATCATTCCATCTCTGCAATCCTCATCACAGTCATTACCTTCACGATATCACCATCATGGCCATCATTACTATATTTATATCCATCATCACCATGACCATCATTAAAAGCATCTTCATCTCTATCACCAACCATCATCATAAACATCACCATAATCACTAGTCGCATAGTGAAGTCGAAACAGGTGTGGTGATGTGGTTATGTCAACAAAATGCAGAGTCCTATTACAACAGACTGATGAAACTACCTCAATGTTGGTAGAAATTTGTAGATTACAGACCAGGTGGCCCACAGGAATTTGTACACATAGCACCCAAAGGAATTCTAAAATGTTTATATTAGCATAATCTTGTTAGTGGGTGTGTTACTAAAATAAAGTCTCTGTCCCCATGAGATTTACAGTGGCAAAGTTAATACAAGGAAGAAAATGCAGTGTACAGAAAGGAAGGAGCTTCAGATCGATATGCTCTTCGAAGAGTCTGAGGGTCATTCCACAGATAACCAACAAACCTGAAAGGAAAATTTACATCTCATCATCTCAGATCATGATGAAATTTGGTACACATATTGGTCCCACAGCCAGATATCTTTGTCTGTTTTATTTATTTATGTCAAGTCGTTCCTCTATAAATACAGGATGTTAAAACTTCACCCTCAACTGCGTAAAGCTCACTGCAAACCTTACAAAACTTTTCTTTCTAATCTCATATAAACATACCTCACCTAAGCAGTGACCTAACCACAAAATCTAACTACCTGGAGCTGAGTCCCCTCTGAGAAGTTGCCAGTCGCTCAGCTACTCACAAATTTCTGAACATTTTACAGTTCCCAAAGATCCATTACCATTTTCAAAAAGGCCATCCACTGGAACGTGTCCTGAGCCAGACTAATCCAGTCCATACCACCTCATCCTATCTCTCTAAGATCAATTTTAATATTATCCTCCCATCTACATCTAGGTGTTCCTAGTGGTCTCTATCCTTTTGGCTTTCCCACCGAAATCCTACATGCATTCTGGTTCTCCACATGCATGCTACATGCCCTGCCCATCTCCTCCTCATTGACTTGATCATTCTAATTATACTTGGCAATGACTACAAGTTATGAAGCTTCTCATTATGCAGTCTTCTCCAACCTCATGTCATTTCATCCCTCTTTGGTCCAAATATTCTCCTCAGCACCCTGATCTCAAATACACTCAGTCTATGTTCTTATACAAAAACTAATGCAGCATTAAATAGGATTCATATGAGAGTACTCTTTAAATGGGGATTCCACTGTAGGTTGAAACATTTAGACCATCAAGTTTTGTTTGATGATAATATGCAGCAGATACTTTCTGTGGGTTTAGTGGACTGGCAACAGCCCACTCCTTTCTGAATTAGTATTTCTTAGAGTGAAACAAATTGAATGTCCTGAATTTATATATGCTTCACCAGCAGTACACTGCATTACTGCTATGGAGCATGCATACTGCTTGAGTATCAATATTAATATCATTACTCAAAACATGGCCATCAGTTTCAAGCCTCTGGGAGATTTAACACTCCCCATCCTGCAGAAAACTGGAACAGTTACAGCACTTCACATAATTTATTTTATCAACTTTCATTTGTTTTGCCAATGGGTTTGTATACAAGTATTTAATATTACTGTACCAATTTCAGTCGTTACATAACGTTATACTGGAAATTATGGGATAATATGAACAAATTGAGAAGGATGTAGGAAGAAAAAGACACGGTCTGTTTTGAGATTCTATACTGGTAAGACTTCCAACTATCCATAAACTGGAAAACAGTGAAGTCATGCTGCAGTCACATATCCTGATACAGGTACTCCATATTACATGCTAATTTGAAAAATGCAATTTCATTTTCATGCACTCAACTAATTCAGAAATTCAGACTGATTTCAATTAACAGCAATTGGCTTTAATGCAAAATGCTTGCTGGCCAATCAACAGAGGTGGAGAGAAGGGAGTGTGATGTATGGGTGGCACAGGATGAACGCATGGGAGAAGAGAAACTACTGGATTTTCTCATTTTCACCCTCTGCAGCATGTTTATGTGTTTCAAGCACAACTGTTGCATAAGTTCAGGAGTATCTGTAATGTGTCATTTTTCTGTGGGTTAAGGAATGATGATGTCAGTAACAGGGCCATACACTGTTTGGGTAATGTGATCACGGTGAGCCAACGACTTCTGAATGCTGACTTCACAGGGTTTACTTTCACTACTTAACTCTTACAGTGTCAGTCCACAACAACAGTATGAAGTGCCAGAATTATGGGGGATGGTTCATGTCTGATCCGGCATCTCTCCACCTTGAAACTCACTCTTTCTTTACACTACTGACAATGATATATATTTATTGTGAGATTTCATGCACAGAATCACCATGATTGTCCAAAACAAGGTCAATTTCTTTGTCAGTTTTCACTTAATTGGTTGTGTTGCTGTGGTGAAGGCTCCTCACTGTCCTTAAATAAAGCATGTCACAGATCTGTTTCTGACTGTGTTTCATCTCCCAGCAGCACTCTAATGCTTCAACAAACACTGGCTGCTTCTGAGCCTTCCTTCATCAAAACTTTGATTACACATCACTACTGCACCTTCTAACCGGTAACTAAACACATGCATACAAGTATACTTAATGTGTAGGACACACATATGAAATAAATGCAAAATCAATCCACATCGTTGTTTACGACAAGCAATAAAAATTCTGCATCAAATTTGAACCATCTATATGTTATCAGTTAGTGAATGTTAAGATCAAATGGTTTCTGTGACTCCTGTACATTCTTCAGTATGAACATTTATATTGTCATGTGTTAGGTGACTATAGACGGGATTGGGATTGACAGCTGAGTTTACTGGACACTTTTACAGCTCATGACTACACTTCACAGGTCACTATCACACATAGTCTAGTGTTCTCAAGTCACGTTTGGTAGTGGCTCCCAACAGCAGATGTTCCTCTGCTTCCAGGCTCACATCCTCACAGGGTAGCGACCATCTCACCCCAACCTCATACTCTGATTCCTGTTTTCATGCTGGTATTTCCTTCAGCTGCCAGCTCCCGGGCTGAACTAACCCATAAAAAGAAAAAGAAAAGTCAAAGTCAGAGTTATGTTATGACTGACAGTCGACCAGTCTGTCTTGGTGTAAAGCACCCATCTGGGGCCCAAGACCAGATTTTTATTAGTCAGGCAGTTGTGAGTTTGTTGAAGTGGGGTGACCTTCCTCATGAGAGGATGGGTGTGTCATTTACAGTTGCTGCTGGCCCTCACCAGCACAGTCATATTTACCACCTATGAACTCTAGCAGCCATTTTGCTTCATGAGTTTTAATACAATTTTTGTGATGGCCAATAATTCATCTTCTTCTGACTCAACCCCACTGAGCTCTGTCATGATCTGTTGAAATATTGTTGCAACTACTTTGAACATGTCGTTCAGAGATGAACCGTTTGTACTAGGAGCCTCAAGGGGTTGACTTGGTATTGGTTGTGGCTCAAGGGAGGGGGATGCAGGCATGTGCAACTGAAGGTGGCTGAGGCCGCTGCTATGGCTGAACAGCACCAATGCGAAGCATAATCCTGGGATGGTGTGGCTGGAAAAGAGCAACCTTAACGTTGTCATCTTGGGCACTTTTTGCAACTTCCTCTTTCACGTATATTCCTTTGCATGCCTGCAGCTTTGATAGTTGGAGGGAAGAGGTGGACCAATTTGCAGCTGCACCATGTCAGTATAAACGCTGTATTGCCCTTTTCCAGGCATTCTTTGTGCAGGTGACCACACCCACCCCACATTTGGCGGGGAGGCTGTTAGCAGTTGTTCCAGATATGAAAGAATTGTTGGCAGTTGTAACACTGCATGAGACCAGTCTAGGATTTGTACGCTACTATCCTGACTGCAATATGGCAAAGGCTCATCAGTTTTAATAACTCATGGGACTCTAACATCCTAGGTAAGGTTATTAGGAAAAGGGGAATGTTTACTGACTAACTCACAACTCAACGGACTCTTTGTGCAGCCTTGGCACGGACAGCATAGAAAACATTGCTTCCAACAGTTCCCTCATTGTTGCATGTGTATGTTTGTTACTGACAGTTCTGGTACTGTTGCATATACAACAGCCGCTGCCTAGTAATGGCTGTTTTTCTGGCTCTCTTATTCTGTCAGGCCTCATGTCACAATATTTAATGCCAACACTGGGGTAATTTCTGACCCCAAAATCACAGGATGATATACAGTAATATTCGAGGCCTGATCAGAAATTAAAAGTTACAAGACCTGTCATTAAGTAGCAGGGAGTATGAAACACACAGAAGCAGTAACATTGTATAAGTATGTACCAGTTCAACAACACTGCACAATCAGCTCACTCCAGTACACTAAGGAGCTGCACAAAGTTAGTTTAAAATGGTGACCATGTTAGAAAACTGGTCTCACAAGAAAATCCATGCAATGATTCAATTCTCAGAAGCAAACCACATGTCAGCAGCTGAAATTCACTGCCAGCTCACTGAGGTTTATGACAAAACAGTGATGTCACAACGCCATGTGCCTGAATGGTGTGGAACATTTAATGCTGGTAGAGAAAAGATCACCAATGACAGTTCCAGTAGAAAGACAAGGACTGTGACAGCAGAAATCAACATCACTCACAATGAACAAACAATTCACATGTATCAGTCTAGCAACACTATACAGCCACCTCACTGTGGCAACTACAAGCAATCTCATTTAAGAAATGATCCAAGGATATCACTTTGGCAACACCACATAACCAACTCAGTGTACCTGAATCATTTCTTCAGTGAGAGCGGTGACTAGTTTTCTAACATAATGGTAGTCACCAATTTGAACAGCCACTGCACAGCAGCTAAGTGCATCTGGGTATGCGGTTATGCAGTGCTGCCAAACTGATACACATGAATCACTTCTTGAGTGGGAATAATGATGACTTCTGCTGTCACAGCACTTGTCAGTCCACTGAGGCCATCATCATCAGTGTTTTCCTTACCAGCTCTAAATGTCCTACACAACTCTTTACCATATTATGATGCAATATCACTGTTTTACCATAAACTCTGACATGATGGAGATTAATTCTGGCTGCTAACACTCTGTTTGCCCACAAAAATCATATCACTGCATCGATTTCCATGCAAGACCCAGTTTTCTCACATAGTTGCCATTTTACACTGCCACTGCACTGTGTCTTTTGCACATTACGGTGAGCTGACTGTGCAGTGCTCTCCAACTGATATGTACACATGATGCTTTTGAACATTCTGCACTTCCTGCTAGTTAATGACAGACATTATAACCCTAATTTCACATCAACCATTGAGATGTTGATGCTGGAACTTTATGCTTTCTTTCTCCACCAATCACTGGCATTCATTAATGTTGTATCACTCTGTCAGTATCCAAATTAGAGAGAAATTCAACAGTATCAGAAAAATCGTTAATCTTTATCATGAAGGGGCATGCGGTAGCGTAGTTGGTTGATGCACTACATTACAAGCCAGAAGGTTGCAGGTTCAAAACCTGATGAGATCATTGGATTTTTCAATTAACCTAATCCTTCCAGCCACATCATGGCCCTGGTGTTGACTCAGCCACTAACAGAAATGAGTACCAGGAATCTCCCTGGGGGTAATAGGTGGCCGGCAAGCAAGGCTGACCTCACCACCATCTGTGAGCAGACTGTTTATAAAATGTGGGAGCCTCAATGTCACACAACACTATGGGGCTCCACAGCCTGTAAAACAGATAGTTTTACCTTTTTTTATGCATACTGGAGGTTAATAAAACTGCCACAGCTGATTGGAAGCACTGACTATCTGTTTATTCTGAAGACTGAAGAATCCCTTGGCCCAGATGCGATCAGTGGACATCCAGGATTTGCTACTGGCAGCGATCATTCTTAATTCCTGAGCTTAGGTCGCTGAAGTATGGATGGGTCATTGCATCCTCGGCTGGCAATCGTAACGGTGGATTACACACCAACAGACGCTGCAAGACAACAGTATCACATTAAACTTTTCACTGCTTTGTCCTGCAACATGGCATCCTTGCTGTGGTCACATCATTAGGATGTGACCTGTAGAATTGTATCTCCAAAACAAACTTTCTGAATGGCTCCAAATGTGGTCACTATGTACATCCATGTATCATGAGCATGGGGATACCTTAGACCCGTGATTTCAAACCGTGGGTTGCAGTCCATCACTGAATCAAGGGAAGTAACCCACTACATCACAGCCTATAAGTTAATACAAAATAAAATCAGTTACTTTAAATAAACAGTTAATACAATAAGAAATTAAAACATATTTAAACTAAACAGAATTCTGGCATTTGCTGTCACAGCAGTATTGTCTGTCAGCTCATTCAATATACAGTATTCACAGCGAGGGAGTGTGTGTGTATGTGAGCGTGCACGCGCACACATACGTAGCATTCCCGTCAGCTTAAATTATCTGTAAAATGGAACTTCCGTTACTAAAGAAAATGAACTGCAAAATACAGTAAACCCACGTTACAAAAGACCCTAATACAGCAGGCAAAATCTGGTTGTGTAAAACCGTGAATTCTTAGAGATGTTGAGGCACTAAAGTTTGGTAGTTTGAAAACTATTTAAAATAAATGAATATCCCCAATATAGAATACTTCATGTAATCACATTGTGTGTTTCTACGCTTACTGTGTACTGGCTACAAATCCTATGGTGTACTTCTGTGAATACCCTTTTTGCTCGATTTTAGCTGACATCTGTGATAATGGATACCCTGTCCCCCCTATTAATCCATTACAACAAGGGTTTACTGTATAACATCAAAAGATAACTCAAGTTAAAGTGAAGGTTTTGCAAGTACAAATGGTATTGAAAAAAAAAAATGCTACTGGCTTGAGTTCCAGTCAATAACATTCGAAAAAGAGTGTAAGGCTATTTAATGGGAGTTAATTAAAATACACTTTCAGCAATTATGGAAATACAAACAGAAAAGTTTAGTCTGAAGATGCTATTTGCAATGTAGTTCTTGCAAACACAAATTTTAAAACACAAACAACAGAAAAGACATTTACAGATAAAGCCTGCTAAAGTTACTGATAAACCTTGCTGATATTTTCAAAGAATTAAATAAGATTTGCAGTTATCAATTCATTCATCAGTAATCTGTCAAGACGACAGGTCCACAGTCTCTTCCAAAACAATTCCTCCACTTGATGCGATCTAGAGCTTTCTCCTTCAAATGAAAATATCCTCTTCTGTCCCCAAGGTCATCCAGCATCTTCTTACATCTTCTTCCTCGTCTTCTTGTCACTTCTATCCGCTCCTCTATCTTTCCTTCAATAACTTCTTTTAGAAGGCAGTTTCTGCATAAAGCATGACCAATCCAATTAGCCTTCCGTTTTCTTATTTCGTGTAGGATATTCCTCTGCTCACTGACTCTAAATAACACTTCTTCATTTCTCACATAATCGGTCAAACTGATTTTCTCCATCCTTCTCCAACACCACATTTTGAAGCTTTCCAGGTGTTTCTGATCTACTGCCCTAAGTGTCCAAGTTTCAGCTCCATACAAAGCAATGCTCCAAATGTAGCATTTCACTACTTTCTTTCTCAAATTTAAGTCCACTTTGCTGGTAAAAAGATTCTTCTTCTTGCTGAATGCAGCTTTTGCCATGGCAATCCTAGATTTAATTTCACACGTACACCTTCCATTATCTGTTAACAAGCTACCCAAATATTTAAAACATTTCACATTCTCCAGTTGTTTTTGGTCTATCTTTATTGTGACTGGGGTTGGTTGTCTCAAAATTTTCATTACTTTTGTTTTTTCCACATTCATTTCCATGCCATAGTACCTTCCAATTTCGATTAGTCTATCAATCATACCCTGTAGCACAGTTTCTTCCTTAGCCATTAACACAAGGTCATCTGCATATTTCACAGTTTGAATAATTTGCCCTC